CCGCCGGGGGTCCCCCCCCCCGCCGGCTCCCCCCGAGGCTTTCAAAGCCGCGGAGGGGCTGGGGGAGGGGGGGCAGCCCAGGCGCTCCTGGCGGCTTTGCTCCCGGTGCCTCTGGTCTGCTGGGGACCATCTGCAAACAGCAACAGATAAAACCATCTAGCAGTGGCCAGCAGCTGTTTCTGAGTGAGGTTCTCTGACCCATGAGTCAAACTATTCCACTCAAAATTCCATCAACTACTTGATTAGCTGATTACCCACAATTTAACATCCCTAGTACTGACTCTGTTCATCACCGATAAGCGAAAAGTACTGATGCTCTGACAGCTACCAGTGAGCATTATGTAACTGTATTTCTTAACTGGTGTAAAGTATAATTGTATCAGATCATTACAACTTCAGCTCTAACTGAAGCTTACACACTCATCATTTTACACTTCAGTTTCTGTAAGTTACTCACTACCGAGATCCACATCAACCTCCTCGAGTCCATACAAAATATTTCTGCTAAGCCTCCGCCCATTCTGACCACATCAACACTCTCCTGTCCTTGCCTCTTTGATCCCTCCACTGACTCCACCATATTCAGTTCAAACTTCTTGTGATCATCTTTACTACCCTGCTAACTTCGTCCCTTTCAGTGTATCCATTCTTTTTACATTGCTGCTCCTGCATTCTTCTCTTCATCTCCAGTCCATTTGCAACACCAGCTGTGGTACCTTGTTTGTTCATGTCTTTTACAATAATACTAGCAAGAGAAGAAACTGATAAAACTGGTATGTTTTGATTGTCACCTTTTCCTTACTAGGAAGTTCTTTCTGGAGTGGTGGTCATAACGAGTAAGGATGCAGTTCAGCACCAGGGTGTCTCCCTAACAATGGAAGGATCCGTGAATCTGCAGCTCAGTGCCAAAAGTGTTGGTGTGTTTGAAGCTTTCTATAACTCTGTTAAGGTAAGAAATATGTAGATTGGATCTTTGGGCACAAAAAATTATGTCTGGGTTCTAAACCAAATTTTTCCTTAGTAATTTTACTACTTTGTGGCTATATAACTGAATTCTTGTAAATAAAGTGAATGTGAAGGCTGCAAGCAAAGCTGCAGTGAGAATCCTATTTTCAGTTACATGAAATATCTCTTACAAATGTGAGTCCTAAGCATCTTAATAGCTTATTTTTTTAGAGGAGGGAACAAATACTTACTCTGAGGAGAATGCCTCCTTCAGTCTATGCTCTTTCACGTCAGCATAGATGAGCCAAAACCTCCACATCTGAATTGCCCCAAACCTAGGAGAGAGACCTATTTTCCTCAACAAAGCATTTCAAGCAACCAAAACAAATTTTAATTCCATTTCAGATTTATGAGTGTTTTTAACTACAAACTCACACTATGGTAAAAGTGGTCTTTGAGAATTGTTTGTGTGGGACACAGACACTTGAATATTCAGATATTTGGAAAGGCTGATAGGGTTTCATGTGGCTTTGTTATTGAGCCTTTTTGAGGTAATAATGATTATGAAGAATGATTCATTTTAAACTTCTCAATTTTTTTTCCTTACAGCCTATTCAGGTTATCAACAGTACAATAGAAATGGTAAAACCAGGAAAGCTTCCCAGTGGCAAAACAGAAATTCCTTTTGAATTTCCATTGCATATGAAGGGCAACAAAGTTCTATATGAGACATATCATGGTGTGTTTGTCAATATTCAGGTGAGACTGTTTGTTTTTACTATAGGGAAAATGTAATGAAATCACAGAGTCTGCAGGAACTCTGAGAAACTTCTGTAATTGTGCTATGGGAGGAAACTATCTGATGGCACCATAACTGTGTGTTGTCAATATTTTTGCTTTAACTGGAAATTTAAATATCCTTTACATTAAAATTTATGTTCCAGCGGTGGGTATTTTTTCTGTTAACTGAAAAGCTAGTTATGAAGAGAAATTATGATATTATTTGGTTCAAATATTTCCCAAACATCTTTCGTTGTAATATCTGGGTGCACTTTACGTGGCTTAAATCGAATAAAAAGTGTCACGATTCCTTTCAACTCATAGCTGTTGAGACTGAACAAAAACTGTCTCATTAGTTATGTCTCTAGGATTTAGTCTCTCTCAGACAGTGGAAGGCCTGTGTGAAGAGAAACATTTTGGATTTCTTTCCAAACATGACATAACTGCCTTTTTAAGATCGCAAAACATTATCGGGCTATATATGTAGACTTAAAATTAAACTTGCATTTTAAAAACAAAAGATTGTTTTTAACTAACTAGTAGTTTTGGTTTCTGTGTTCCTTGCAACAGGTGATATCAGCAAATGCAGCCTTGAGGGACAAAGTTGGGGAAGGGGTGGTTTTGATTTTGCTTGAAAAGAGTCTTAAAAACAAAAAAGGCATCTATATTATTCTTCACCCTTTCACAGTTATACTTGGGGGTTATTTTTAAAAGTAGGTCCATTTTATATACTTCGAATGAAGAGGCTGTGTGTCATTGGGACTTCACTCTTCAGTAGGTTCAAATTTGAAATACAGTGTGATAGTTAATAAGATATGGTATGTATATCACTATAACGTGTGCCTTGCCTGAGTTAGAACTCTTACTTTAGTCTCTTTATTTCATGTAGCAGATCTTCTTTTTGAGAGACGTCCCAGGGGGTGCTCCACAGTGGGTGTTGGCGTGTCCCAGTCTAAAGGGTATGAGATGCTCCAACACCCGCTATGGAGCACCCCCAGGGATGCTCATCTCGAAGAACGTCAGTTACAAAAAGGTGAGTAACTTCCTCTTACTACTTTTTGGGGTGGGATCTGTCAGGCCTTCTGTGCTCCCTGCTGGAGGTGTCAGCAATCTGATACTACCTCCATTGCTCCCTAGCTAAAGGAAAACCCACTCAAGTAAAGCTATCTAAAAGACTTAGTTCCCCAAAAGCTTAGAAGGGCTAGGAGGAGACACCGGCCAATCAGAAGCCAACAGATCAGTTAAGAGAACTTTCCTACTCCTCACAAGGGAAGTGCTGGGTGAGACTGAAAAGAGCATCTCCTCTGTCCTAGCCCAGAATGCCAGGTCTGGATCATGGCCTTGGCTTAATGTGGCTAAGTGGTTTCCTCTTGTATTGATTTGCTAGCTTGCTAATGTGATGCAAGGAGATGTTTTGATAAATCTGCTCTTGAACATTTTTTTTCTTTTTTTGTATTAGTGGGAGACTTTTTTTTCATCCATGAAGTTTTATGTTTATCAAGATAAAGCTCAGAGGAATCTATTAAAACAAATTAGATTCAGAAAAATGCTTTGCACCACAGTGCTGGTGAAAAATCACTAAAATCACCCAAATCTTCACATCTTTTTTACCACCCTCCAGCACTGTTCTGAATATACTAACTGCTGCTTTTATAGCTGAACTGAGAGACTTTGACTGAACATTCTTGATTAAAGTGTTTTTATCAACAGTGTTAACCTGTCAAATGTAACTTAAGAATATTTAGAGCATAACTATAAAATGTTGCATACACAGATATGTCCCAGATAAAACAGGATTAATTTAAACTTTTAAAGTACTAATGAGACAATAACTAGAAAACGATATTCCATGCCTCTTGGGCCGTTAAAAGATTATCATGATTGTGACATAAACTAGGGAGAAAGGGACTGACTTTGAGGTAAATTTCTAGGGGGAGGAGGAGATAACTTAGGTTTCAATCCTGCAGCTAGATTCATGTGGGCAGAATTTGATTGACTCAAAGGAGCATCTATGCAGGCAAAAGTCTCCACCCATATGGATTCACCTGCAGGATTGCTGGTCAAGCGTGCAGTTGGGTAAACTACAAAGATGGCAAAGAAAAGGCTGCAATTAATTGTAGGGGTGCTTATCAAGGGAGTTATCCAAGGAATACAATTAAAAGTAAAGAGATTTTTAATATGAGGGAATACTTTGGTAACAGTGATTTCTGCTAATGTGAAATAATCTTCTAAGAAAGCACTTGTTGCTTGAATTACTGAATAATTTAAAAGTAGATTGGGAAAAACTTAGAAAGCCAACACTGAACACCATAGTAAGGGAAAAGTTCTGCTTTGGAAGAGTAATGTACTGGGAGTGACCAAGTTACACCTATTTCACTTCTTAACTGAATCCAGGATTTTTGGAAAAAATTAATGGGTATATTATTCACTGACTTTAATGGGAGCAGTATCTGGCCTCCTATTTTAAACAACTTCAAGCATGGACCATATTTTCTTGAGGGATAGGAGAAGGTGTTGATTACTGTGTGTGCTTTTGATACATAATTGATTTTCATGCCAGACTTTTCTGTTGATTCCAGGTGTTTGAAAGTAGAATCTTCCTCATTCTTTTTTCTGACTTTTTACAAACATACTGATGAAAGTTCAAAGGTCATCTGACTCAGAGTATTGTTTTATATCTCTTTTCCATCAAATTATTTCTACTGTTAAGCTCATAAATATTATCCGGATTTTTCATCATAACTATAATTGCTGTATCTATTCATTATGAATCCTCTGGATTCATGCAAATAACTTCTCATTCAGCTTCATTGTCTGCTTTTAAGAGGTGGGTTTTTTGTAATTTGTTTTTCTAACCACCTAGCAATAGGATACTAAATCTTTAATTAAGCATTTTATATTTAAGGGTTACTTACCAGGAAAAACCAGACAAGAGACTTATGGCCTGAGAACACCTATTTGTAAATAAGCCTTGAATGAAAATAAGATAAGCAACTATATTGCCAGAATGGAACTCATTCTGGCCTGTCTTGTGCATGAGTGTTAGCTATTTTTCCCTTCTCCAGAGCATACTCACTCTAATCTACATCAGACTAAGGATATTAAGTAGCGTGTAATTCACTAATCATATAGTCGATGCACTTTTGCATCAACTATTTGATTAGTGGATAGGGTGACGCTGCCTCTTTGAAATGCTGCAGAGGTGTTTCAAAGGGGCAGTGCCACACAGCTGATCTGGGCTCCATGCGGGGCTGCTGCTTTGAAGTACCCACTTCCCCCCCCTTGCTGCTTCTATCTGATAAGAGGCAGCAAGGGGATAGAAGAGAAGCGACATATCAGATAGTCAACTAGTCCTTAATATCCCTACATCAGCCTTTTCAACGTAGCCACGTAGTGATCATTCTTCCATTTTCAGTTTAAAATAACCTTGTCTGTAAAAACAACACTCCATTTTTTTATGCTAACCTTGCTAGGGTTTGTTTATTTTGAGAAAGCAGCCCAGAAAAGGTGTTGATCCTTTGCCCCAACCAGAAACAGCAACATGGAGATTTGTTTTCTCTTCGTACTTTGTAAAGCCAAAGATCTTATCCTCTTAAATTATTCAAACTATTTAATATTTCTGTTATTGATAGGGCATAAACAATGTATTTACTGTCATTTTGGATGAGCTATAAATTTTTTTTTAAAGAGATGGAAAATTCCTATTTCTACAAATTATCTAAATCTGCTCTCTTAGTACCTACCTGAAGTCAAGAGCTACTCCCAAAGACAATTGAACTTCAGCCTCTGGATTCCCTACATTTACTTGGGACTTCTTTACAGTAGGTCCCTCTATCCCTCAAAAATAAGGGATGCGCAGTTGTTAGCTATGCCAGTCAAGGGCAGATGTTGACAATATTACTTAAACTACATGTCTTTGTATATGGCTAGTTTTTGTTGCTAAATTTTATATCTTTTTGACAACCCTTATGGTTAAGACTCCCTTTTCTTAATTTTGATATTTCCCTTACCTACTCTTAGACTTGGCTTTCTTCCCAGTATAACATATGCTGTTGGTAAAAGACATGCCAAAAACAATACCAGCGTACAAACTGACTTGCGTTCAGTAATCCAGATATTTTATTTATAATTAGTACCAATTGTCTTGTAAGGTATAATTTTATTAGTATATATGTTACTTTTGACCATTCTCCTATCACTTACCCAGTTACCTTTTTTCCCCCCCTCCCTGTTTAAAAAAAAAAAAAAAAAAGACTTGATATAAAAATTCAGGCCATGGCTATCATTGGATTTTCAACAGCCTTTGAGGACATTATTTCCCACTCTTCTGTGCCACCCCAGAAATAAATGAAATCTGGTTTCAAAGGACAGTTTTGTATAGAACAAATTACTATCTGTTAAAATTGATGTACAGAGATTTGACCCAGGGTGCATCTAAACAGCACTCTAAACTTGAAATAAGATGCGCAATTTGCATATCTTATTTCTAACCTGTTTTGAAATAGCTTATTTTGAAATTTGGCGCATGGACACAGTGCCATATTTCAAAATAACAGGCTATTTAGAGACATCCCTTAACTCTTGTGTAGATGTGGGATAACTATTTCGGGATACCTCTGGTATCCTGAAATAACCATGCAGTGCAAATGTACTCCTAATATCTAGGTTTTGTGTAAGAAGCTATTCTGAGTGGCTTAAAAGTTTAATAATTCATATAATAATAAAAATCAAATGGATGCTTTGTATTTTTACCAGTAGTTTATTTTTAAAGTAAATGAAAGAGTTATAAAAATAATTTTGATTTTGAATGAGTCACCAATCTGCAAAGGGTGTAAAACAGTGCTTTAAGTAGCAATGTCTTAACTGGAACTAGCAATGTACAGGGATTTATAAGAATATGACATCTTTTGATGGTAGAAGTAGTACTGCAGACTTTTAGGAAGTTTCCACGTGAATACAGCCGACCGGTTTTGGGGAGAGTTCTGCTAATAATGATTGCACTACACCAGTGTTTCCCAGTTGGTGCTCCCCAAAAGGTATCGAGTACATGATTAGTCATTTAGTCACTACTTAATATCCATAGTTCATGGTGGAGTTCAAAGCAAGAGTTGATAAGACTCTCTTATCCCCCACTTGTTCCCACAGTATACCCTGAGATGTGACATGCGACGTTCTCTACTGGCCAAGGACTTGACTAAGACTTGTGAATTCATTGTCCACTCAGCAGTAAGTTGGAATATAGAGACTTTTTACTCTGTCCATTACCTGAGATTTTCAGTCAGTGTGTTGCTCCCTGCTAAAAGATATTGTGAAGGCCAAGATTATAACAGGATTCAAAAAAGAACTAGATAAGCTGGTGAAAGATAGGTCCATCAATGGCTATTATCTAGGATAGGCAATGATGGTATCCGTAGCCACTATGTCAGAAGCTGGGAATGGGCAATCACTTGATTACTTGTTCTGTTCATTCCCTCTGTGGTACCTGGCATTGGCTGCTGTCAGAAGACAGGATACTGTGTTACATGGATCTTTGTTCTGACAGCTGTTCTTATGTTTACTTTTGCTGTTTTATTCTGTTTAGCAACATCTGGTGCCTAGTATTGTGCAAAGATGATCACAAGATATAATGCTGTCACTTGTATGTGTCCTCCTGTATTAACAAGATAAAGACCTAAGGGGGTGGGACAAAGTTTGATGTCATGCTTTCTTTTATGTTTTGAAGTTAGCAGTATTCAGGCTTCAAGCATTTCTATTTGAATCACTGTGGCACCCAGCAGCCGAGACATGAATTGGGGCCTTGTGCTATAATTTACATAAACTTTACACTAATTTCTTTTAAGTGTTCTCTTTTAACTAGTACATAGCAAGTTTATCAAGTTTATCATCTAAAATGTATGTTGTAAAAACCTCCTCACTTGGTCCTGAGTCCTCTCCTTCTCTCTCCCTGCTTGTTCCCTTCATCTCCTAGATAGATACTGATCTGCTGAGGATCTTACCATGGTGATGTGTGCTCCCATAAGTATCTTTTGGATGACCTGCTTTCTTTCTCTCTTGCCAACTTTTCCTCTGTCACCCTGCTCCTAAGGTGCTAAGTATCCAGAACTCCCACTGGCGACTGAGAGATTTGGGTGCTCAGCATCTGTGAAGGGGAGATATAAAACCTCTTGTAGACAAATGCCTAAATATTGATGTAAGTCAGGTACTCTACACGTTTGAAGTAAGACTGCATCAAATCGGAGACAAGTTAACAGCCTCTTAAACTATAGCTGCTCTGCAATTAGACACCTGTGGCTGGTTTGTGTCAGCAGACTTGGGCTGAAATAAGGGGCTGTTTAATTGCAGTGTAAATGTTTGGGCTCCAGCTGGAGCCCAAACTCGGGGACTCTCCGTCTCAAGGAGTCGTGCAGTTAAGCGTCTGCTTAAGTTTCCTGTGAGCCTCACAGCCATGCAGTAGGCTATTAAGGACCATGCAGGTAGGGAGAGGCATCCTTCCCCCAGGTCGGCCTCACCAGAACTGCTGTGGCTGGAGCAAAGCACCCCTCCTCTGCTTTGGTCCAGCCTAGCCTGAACTGCCACAGCTGGGGAGAGATGCCTCTTCCCCCATTCCAGCCCCTCTGGAGCTGCCGTGGCCAGGAGAGGTGCCCTACCTCCAGCCCCAAGTTGCTGCAGTGAGAAAGGGCTGGGGGAGTCTTTCCTTCCCATTGCAGCCCTATGGCAGTGTGTACCTCCAAAGTCTTCATCCAAGAGCCTTAACCCCAACCTTTATCCCTGTACCTCAATCTTCTGCCCAAGCCCTGATCCCCCCCGAATCCCAATTCCTTCATCCATGGCCCCCCCACAAAGCCCACACCCCAGCTAGAGCCCTCCCTTTCACCATACCTCCCAACCTTCTGCCTAGCTCTGAGTCCACTCTCACACTCTGAATCCCTCAGTCTCACCCCCCAACACACACATCATCTCCACGTTAAATATTTATTCCACACGTGGCCCTAAAAAAAAAATAGGGGTAACACTGGTATCTGCAGCTCAATTAAACAGCATCTTGGTCCAAGTCCCACAACCTCAACTTAGCTGACTTGGGCTAGTCATGGGTTTTTCACTGTAATGTAGGCATACCTGTAGGGACCACATGGAGCTAGTGTCCTAAACAAGTTCTCTTTTCAGCAACTTGTTCACAGATAGTGGGTTGGCTCAGAAATGCCCATTGTAACTAACGCCTTGATTCTGCAATTAGTTCTTTGTCCCTGGATCCTTGCATCTGTGTGATTCATTGCAGAATCAGGGACACTTTTAGCTGTGTGTCAGAACTACTTGTGGCTTTCATTGTGAACATTTTCAGTAAAATAGTTGCAACTCTGATATTTATTGATTATAAATATCTATAAGCAATATAATCTGCATAAACTTAACAAGCAAATTACATTTGCTTTCAACCAAAATTTACTATAACACAGATGGTATTGAGCTCTTATAAGGAACTCATTAAGAGGAGCATTGATATACTTAAAAATGTGTTGTTCATTTTCATCACTTCTGATCAGAGGAAAAAGTAGAACTTCAATAACATACATAAAAATTGACCATGTTAGCAAAGATGTAATAGCAAGACACTGTAGAGATCTTGTTCCTACATTTTTCATTGTTCTACAAAATGTACTATGCTTCATTACCTAGTACATTATAAAGTAGTATAAATAAGCCACAGTTGTCAAAATAATGAACAGTTTACATATTACGTAGCATCCATGCTTTATTTCTTGTTCAGAGTATAGCACTCATTAGTTCACAAAATTAAGTAATTCACCATGAGTCTCCCAGTCAGTGTGAATTAATGAGCTTCAACTATACATATAATTCTCACTGTCAGTACACAATATATTATTCCCCTTATTTCCTTTCCAGAATTTGTCAACTGTATTTCCCATAACCAAGTGCGTGTATTTATTTATGGCTGGCAGTTTCCCAGTTTTGCAATTGACAAGAAGAAACTACTATGCACACAAAGTAATGGAGAGCAAAACAACTGCAAAGTTCGAATTGGGCTTTCTGACGATGTTACAACACTGCACCATCTCTCAACAGTGTACAGCTGGGACCCTCCTCACAGACTAGCACACGCAAAATCCTTGCACTTCTTCTAATGGAGGCTTGAATAGAGCTGAACAAAGATAAAGGGTCTGGTTGGAATGAGGGTAAAGAGAGGCAGTTACTGAAGATTAAAATGACAATTAAGTTGTCCTTTCTGCACAAAGTGCCTGGCTGCCATTTCAGTAGCAGTTCAGGGTCTTTTAAGTCACTTTAAACGTATGTTTTATTTTTAAAAGCTAAACTGGGAGTTTGTTAATATTCCAAATACAGATGTACTTTTAAAGAAAGATTAGACCCTGAGCTGATGAAATCAGTGGAACAACATTGAATTACACCAGCTGAGGATCTGGCCCAGGAAGTTGAAAACTGTTTTTGGGCCATAACCTATGGCTAACAGAACTGTCCGTAGGCAGGGGTAAAGCATTCAAATAGTGCAGAAAACTTCAGATAGAGAGGATTAGAAAAACATTCAGTATGATCAGGATAGTAGACTTTGTATCCGCTCAGTCAGATCCTAGGATTTTATTTTCCACTGCTCTTTATTAATGCTTTTAAAGAGTTAGGTACAGTAAAACTCCAATTGTCTGGCATCCAGTGGTCTGGCACCAACTGGAACCCGGAAGTGCTCTAGCCAGCCGGACAATTGGAGCTGCTGTGAGCCCCACGCGTGCTTATGGGTAGGGAAAGGGAAGGGAAGGAGAGAGGAAGGGGATTATACCCCAGTGACAGATCTGCTGGGACCTGCACTGCATCTGGCTGGGGGATGGGAGGAGGGGGAGGGTCGGTGGGTAATGGCACGGCGAGGGGCGAACCCTCCACCATTTTGCAGGGAGGTGGGGAAAGCCCCGCGCAG